GGAGGCTGGACGACCATCTTTCAGGTATGGTGTAGGGCTATCTTTCGGCTGTGCTCCTGCAGAGTGCAGGGGGTTGGACTAGATGACCTGCAGGATCCCTTCCAACTCTAACGTTCTATGTGTATAATATTGTCGCCTAGTTCGGAACAGGTTCCCTGGATATGGGATGGGGGAAATCTATTTAGTCTCCCTTCAACCAACCATAAACTCAGAAGGCAAAAGTGGTCCCCTTGGGCAAATGACAACAGGGAGGCATTCCAGAAGAATGCAACAGAAGAACAATGAAGAGTCGTTCTGAAACCTTAAACGTCCGTTTCTGGGGTTACTAGATGTTCTCTGGTTTTGGTGACCATCCTCTTTTGGGGTATTCTTAAAAAACTGATGAAAGTGTCCTCTTTTTGGGATTGGAAGGTTATGGATATTCCTCATTAGTAGCAATTATCGCAGCTTAAATAGTTGTTGTTGTTGTTGTTCAGTCGCACAGTCGAGTCCGACTCTGTGCGACCCCATGGACCAGATCCCGCCAGGCCCTCCTGTCTTCCGCTGTCCTCTGAAGTTTGCTTAGTTTCATGTTCGTTGCATCTATGACACTGTCCAACCATCTCATCCTTTGCCGTCCCCGTCTTCTTTGACCTTCAATCTTTCCCAGCATCAGGGTCTTCTCCAGTGAGAGCTCCCTTCTCATTGGGTGGCCAAAGTATTTGAGCTTCAGTTTCATTATCTGGCCTTCCAGGGAACAGTCAGGGTTGATTTCTTTTAGGATTGACTGATTTGATCTTGCAGTCCAAGTAGGGGTATCTAAAATGAGATTTGTCATAGGGATCATGTGTTTAAATTAGTCGGGAAATACTTTTCAAAATATAACTCTATCTGTTTCAGAGAGTAGTCATGTTAATCCACAGTAGAACAGTTAGATTCGAACCCAGTAGCGCCTTAGAGAGCCAACAAGATTTTTTGGAGATAGATCAAGATGGGTAGCTGCGTAAGTCTGTCTGTAGCCATAGAAAAGAGCAAGAGTCCAGGAGCACCTTCAAGACTAATAAAATTTGTGGCAGGGTGTAGGAGCTTTCGTGAGTCACCACCCACTTCAGAAGTAGTGAGCAGTGACTCACAAAAGCTCATACCCTGCCACAAATTGTGTTAGCCTTTTTCTGGGTATAAGCTTCCCAGAGTCAAAGCTACCTTGGTCAGACGTCTCTTGTAAGTCCCTCAGGTGCTACCAGACTTGTCTTCTTGTTCTTCAGTCGCAGTCGAGTGCGACTCTTCACAACCCCATGGACCACATCACACCAGACCCTCCTGTCCTCCATCATCCTCCGAAGTTTGCTCAACTTCATGTTTGTTGCCTCGACAACACTGTCTGACCATCTCATCCTTTGCCATCCCCTTCTTCTTTGACCTTCAGTCTTTCCCAGCATCAGGGTCTTCTCCAGGGAGTGCTCCCTTCTCATTGGGTGGCCAAAGTATTGGAGCTTCAGCTTCAGTATCTGGCCTTCCAGGGAACAGTCAGGGTTGATTTCCTTTAGGATTGACTGATTTGATCTCTTTGCGGTCCAGGGGACTCTCAAGAGTCTTCTCCAGCACCATCTATTCTTCGGCGCTCAGCCTTCCTTATGGTCCAACTCTCGCAGCCATACGTTACGACTGGGAATACCATCGCTTTGACCATGCGGACTTTTGTTGGCAGGGTGATGTCTCTACTTCTTATCATGCTGTCTAGGTTTGCCATCGCTTTCCTCCCAAGGAGCAGGTGTCTTTTAATTTCATGGCTGCAGTCACCGTCTGCAGCGATCTTGGATCCCAGGAACGTGAAGTCTGTCACTGTCTTAAAGCTGTCTTAAAGATCTGCAAGATTATTGTGGGCCAGAGCTCATAAAATAACGTGTCGTGACAGATACCCCAGGAAAGGGAAGGTGGCTCCAGCTTCTTTCGCTAGCTCAGGCTGCTACTTTCTTGGCTCCCGGCTTCAGTATCTTTTGACGGCTGCATGACAAGAAGAAATCGACCTGGCAAACTTCCGGTGATCATGTAGCCACTGTGCCCTGGGAGGGGAGAGGGGTGCAGTGCAGTGGGGGCTGTGGCTCAGTGGCAGAGTATCTTGCTTGACATGCAGAAGGTCTCCGTTTCAATCCCTGGCAGTGTTGCCTCTAAGGTGAGTTCATGTGAGCCAGCTCACAGTTTTTTAGCCTCCGGCTCCCATCTTTGTCTTCGCTCAGGAAGGATGTGGCTCCCGAGCAAACTAATCGATGCAGCAGCCCAATCGCTCGCTCACAACTTTAATGCCAGGAGCTCACCAAGTAGAATTTTTGCTCACAAGACTCCACAGCTTAGAGGGAGCACTGACCCCTGGCATCTCCATTTAAAATGAATCTGGGAGTAGGTGATGTGACAGATTTCTGCCTGAGATCCTGGAGAGGTGCTGCCAGTCTTGAGTGAACAAGACTGACCCTGATGGGTCTGATTCAGTAGAAGACAGCTTCATATCTTCACGTGCAGTCTTAATTGTTAGTGGTATAGATCAAGGTGGGTAGCAGTGTTCCCTCTAAGATGAGTTAGTGTGAGCAAGCTCACAACTTTTTAGCCTCCGGCTCACACTTTTTTGTCTTGGCTCAGGAAGGATGGCTCCAGAGCAAGCTGATTGATGCAGTAGCCAAATTGCTCACTCACAACTTTAATGCCAGTAGCTCACAAAGTAGAATTTTTGCTCACAAGACTCCACAGCTTAGAGGGAGCATTGGTGGGTAGCTGTGTTAGTCTGTAGCGGTAGAAAAGAGCAAGGGTCCAGTAGCACCTTAAAAAGGTAAAGGTTCCCTTGCCCAAAAGCCAGTCGAATCCGACTCTAGAGTTGCGGTGCTCATCTCCATTTCCAAGCCGAAGAGCCAGTGCTGTCCGAAGACGTTTCCGTGGTCATGTGGCCGGCATGACTAAACACAGAGGCGCACGGAACGCTGTTACCTTCCCAACGAAGTGGTACCTATTTATCTACTTGCAATTTCTTGCTTTCGAACTGCTAGGTTGGCAGGAGCTGGAACTAGAGACGGGAGCTCACTCCGTCATGCGGCACCCGGGTCTCGAACTGCTGAACTACCGACCTTCCACAGCCTGCAGTTCAGCGTCTTAACCACTTGAGCCACCGCAGCTCCTTAAAGACTAACAAAAATATGTGGCAGGGAAGGAGCTTTCATGAGTCACCGCTCAGGGTATCTGAAGAAGTGAGCCAGTGTCTCATGAAAGCTACCCTACTACTTATTTCATTAGTCATTAAGGTGCCACTGATATAGATTCAGGTGGGTGGCCATGTTCGTCTGAAGCTCGGTGTAATGATTTCATGTTTTGGTGTGTGTGTTTCGTTAAATGTTTAGTTTGCAGTACTGTAAGAAGAGTGATAGAGGGAGATAAGTGTATTGTTACTGGCTGATGACAGAGTGTGGGAACAGGGATGCCAGTTTGGTGTAGTGGTTAAGTGCGTGGACTCTCATCTGGGAGAACCGGGTTTGATTCCCCACTCCTCCACTCACACCTGCTGGATGACCTTGGACAAGCCATAGTTCTGTTAAAGGTGTCCTTGAAAAAGAGCAGTTTCTGTCAGAGCTCTCTCATCCCCACCTACCTCACAGGGTGTCTGTTGTGGGGAGGGGAAGGGAAAGGAGTTTGTAAGCCGCTCTGAGACTCCTTTGGGTAGTGAAGGGCGGGGTATGAATCCAATCTCTTCTTCTATGAGGGGATTCTGTGTGTGAAGTTTGAAGAGAGAGCATAGTCTGTATGACTATGGGAGTTTTTGAGTCTATTCTGTGTCAATAAGACAAACAGTTTAGTCTGAGTGGATATGAGTTTTGAGTCTATTCTGTGTGAATAAGACAAAGAGTTCAGCCTGTGTGGCTAAACAGATGAGAGAGATTAGACTGAGTGACTAGCCTGTCAGTGGAGTTTTGGGAGTTTGAGAGACTGTTCCTGACACCAAGCTTAGCCAGTTATATCTACAAGTTCCTTTCATCAGCAATAGTTCAAATTAACCAGAAACCTATTTTATTATTTATTAAATAATTAATTTTTTGTTCAGACTTATCCCAGAAATCGGACTAGTCCTTCCTCAGGGCCACATAGGTCTCTGAAGTGCCCAGATCCTGGGTCATTTTACCAAAAGAGAGATTTGGAATTTTTAATTCCTGATGGCAGCAGAAATTGACCACGTTTAGGTGCACAGAAAGTGTTTTAAAAGTAAATCAGTCTCCCCGATCAGAGAGGGACGCCACACTAGGGTTGCCAGGTCTGGGTTGGGAAATACCTGGAGACTTTGGGGGTGGATCCAGGAGAGGGCGGGGTTTGGGGAGGGGCCTCAGCAGGGTCCAATGCCAGAGAGTTATCTCCAGGGAAGCTGATTTCTATTGCCTGGAGAATCTCCAGGCCCCACCTGGAGGCTGGCAACCCTAGTCTTAAAGGTGCCAATGGACTAACTTTGGTTAGTGATATCATTAAGTATAGATTTTTTTTTTAAAAGTTGACTTTTTTTAGTGTGTTAAATTATTTTGCTTCCCTTCTCCCTCCCTTGAATGGGGGGGGGGAGAACACCCTCAAACGGTATTACATTCTGGCAACCGTTTTGGAATGACTCCCAGAGGGGGTCACCTGTTCTCAGGCGGGTCTACCTCACAGGGTTGTTGTGAGGATAAAGTGGAAGGTGGGGGGGAGACACTCCCCTATCTCAACGTTTCTCCTCCGCTGAGGTGATTTTTTTTTTTAACCGAACGCGACGCCGGAGTCTCCCCTCCCCCCGCCAACGTCCCTCTTCGGCGGGCGGGAAGCGCGCGCTCCCTCTCGCGAGACTGCAGAAGGGGGCGGGGCCGCGGCGGACTCCTCCCCTCCCCTCCCCGCCGAACTTCCCGCCTGCCGACGCGTCGCTCGGGTCGTTGGGGCGGCTCTGCGCGTGCGCGGTCGCCCTCCCGCCCAGCTGGTCCCTGACGAGGCGGCCGAAGGGGGCGGGAGGCGAAGGCCGGCCGAGCTAAGATGGTGGCTGACGGCGCTCGCGGTCTGGCCGTCCCCCTCCCCGGAGGGACCCCTCGGCCTGAGGTGAGGATGGGGACGGGCGGGCGGAAGCGATGGCTGCAGGGGAGCCTCCCTAGCCAGGGGCAGTCCACCTGTCACCGCCAGTGCTCAGGGAAAGGCTGGGTCTCTGGGCCTTTGCGGGGCAGTTGGGTGCTGGAGGAGACGGGCCGGGTTTAGAAGAGAAGAGATTGGATTTATTCCCCGCCCTTCACTACCCAGTGAGTCTCAGAGCACCTTACAGACTCCTTCCCCCTTTCCCCTCTGAGGGGGGTGGGGCCGACCGAGAGAGAGCTCTTGAGAGAACTTGTGACTGACCCAAGGTCACCCCAGCAGCTGCATGTGGAAGTCTGGGGAAATTTCGTCCAAGCAGCTCAGGCGGGCTCGCATTCGTGGTTCTCTTCTTCGTCTCCGTTCTGAAGAAGAAGAGATTGGATTCATACCCCACTCTTCACTACCCAAAGGAGTCTCAGAGCACCTTACAATTTCCTTTCCCTTCCCTCTCCCCACAACAGACACCCTGTGAGGGGGGTGGGGCCGAGAGAGAGAGCGCTCTTGAGAGAACTTGTGACTGACCCAAGGTCACCCCAGCAGCTGCATGTGGAAGAGTGGGGGGAAATCAAACTGGGTTCTCCCAGATTAGAGTCCGCCCTCCTAACTACTACACAGAACTGGCTAGGCACTTCACCACGACACCACACTTAACTAGACTGCTCTGAATAACTTGTTTTGGGTTTTTTTCCCGTCCAAGCAGCTCAGGCGAGCTCGCATTCGTGGTTCTCTTCTTCGTCTCCGTTCTGAAGAAGAAGAGATTGGATTCATACCCCACTCTTCACTACCCAAAGGAGTCTCAGAGCACCTTACAATTTCCTTTCCCTTCCCTCTCCCCACAACAGACACCCTGTGAGGGGGGTGGGGCCGAGAGAGAGAGAGAGAGCTCTTGAGAGAACTTGTGACTGACCCAAGGTCACCCCAGCAGCTGCATGTGGAAGAGTGGGGAAATCAAACTGGGTTCTCCCAGATTAGAGTCCGCCCTCCTAACTACTACACAGAACTGGCTAGGCACTTAACCACGACACCACACTTTAGACTGCTCTGAATAACTTGTTTTGGGTTTTCTTTCGTCCAAGCAGCTCAGGCGGGCTCCCATTCGTGGTTCTCTTCCGTTCTGAAGAAGAGGAGATTGGATTTATACCCCACCCTTCACTACCCCAAGGAGTCTCAGAGCACCTTACAATCTCCTTTCCCTTCCCTCTCCCCACAACAGACACCCTGTGAGGGGGGTGGGGCCGAGAGAGAGAGCGCTCTTGAGAGAACTTGTGACTGACCCAAGGTCACCCCAGCAGCTGCATGTGGAAGAGTGGGGAAATCAAACTTGGTTCTTCCACATTAGAGTCCGCCCTCCTAACCACTACACCGAACTGGCTAGGCACTTAAGACACCACACTTAGCTAGGCTACTCTGAATAACTTGGTGTTTTTTTTTAATTTCGTCCAAGGAGCTCAGGGGAGCTCGCATTCGTGGTTCTCTTCTTCTCCTCCGTTCTGAAGAAGAAGGGACTGGATTGATACCCCACCATTCACAACCCAAAGGAGTCTCAGAGCGGCTTACAGTCTTCCCTTCCTCTCCCCACAACAGACGCTCTGTGAGGTGGGTGGGGCTGAGAGAGCTCTTTCGAGGACTGCTCGTGTAAGAACAGCTCTGGGAGAACTTGTGACTGACCCAAGGTCACACCAGCAGCTGCATGTGGAGGAAGAGTTGGGGAATCAAACCGAGTTCTCCCAGGATTAGAGTCCGCGCTCCTAACCGCTACGCCAAACTGGCTCAGTGCAGCCCTGTTGAGCAAAGCTTGGCTGCAAAGGAAGGACCGGTTCACGCCCAGGGAAATACTAATTGTCACTTGGGGGTGGTGGTCAGGAGCAGTGTTCCCTCTAAACTGAGTGAGTGTGAGCTAGCTCACAGTTTTTTAGTCTCCAGCTCAAACATTTTTGCCTTAGCTCAGGAAGGATGGCTCCTGAGCAAACTAGAGCCAGTTCGGTGTAGTGGTTAAGTGCGCAGACTCTAATCTTGGGAGAACCAGGTTTGATTCCCCACTCCTCCACTTGCACCTGGCTGCATGACCTTGGGCAAGCCATAACTCTGGCACAGCTGTCCTTGGAAAAGAGCAGTTTCTGTCACGAGCTCTCTCAGCCCCACCTACCTCACAGGGTGCCTGTTGTGGGGATGGGGAGGGAACGGAGTTTGTAAGCCACTCTGAGACACCTTTGGGTAGTGAAGGGCGGGGTATAAATCCAATCTCCTCTTCTCTTCTTCTAATTTATGCAGTAGCCAAATCGCTCGCTCGCTCGCTCACAACTTTAATGCTGGTCGCTCACAAAGTAGAATTTTTGCTTGCAAGACTCCACAGCATAGAGGGAGCGTTGGTACAGGAAGCAGTTTTCTCCAGGCCACTTTGGCTGGAGATCCTGGAGGCTTTTTGTCGTCTTCTGGGATTGGAACAGGGGTCACTGGGGTTGTGTGTGAAGGGGGAGGTATTTGTGAATTTCCTGCATTGTGCAGGGGGGTTGGACTAGATGCCTCTAGAGGTCCCTTCCAGCTCTATGCTGGACCTCCTGATGGCACCTGGTATTTGGCCACTGTGTGACACAGAGCATTGAACTGGATGGGCCATTGGCCTGATCCAACATGGATTCTATTGTATTCTTAGGAGTGATGTTGGTCCTTTCCAGGCAGGTAGAAAATCCTCTAGGGATCTTTTTTTTTTTTTGGCAAAGAGTGTGAGGAGCTTTAGCATCTCTGTGTATCTGAGGACATCGGGATGGTGTTACTTGGAAAATTGGTGGCCCTTTCACCTGCAGCAGATACAGGGGATCGGAACATCATTAACTTGGTCAGGCAAACAGAATAAGAGATACTAGTTTAAGTTGGATTAAAAGGTAAAGGTTTCCCTTGCTTGAAAGCCAGTCGAGTCCGACTCTAGGGTTGCGGTGCTCATCTCCGTTTCAAAGCCCAAGAGCCAGCGCTGTCTGAAGACGTTTCCGTGGTCATCTGGCCGGCATGACTAAACACCGAGGCGCACGGAATGCTGTTACCTTCCCACCGAAGTGGTCCCTATTTCTCTACTTGCAATTTCTTGCTTTCGAACTGCTAGGTTGGCAGGAGCTGGAACTAGAGACGGGAGCTCACTCCGTCATGTGGCAACCCAGGTCTCGAACTGCTGAACTACTGACCTTCCACAGCCTGCAGTTCAGTGTCTTAACCACTTGAGCCACCGCAGTTCCACTGCCAAGCAAATATGCACAGATCACAGTTGACTCCTTTATGCAGCAGAAGGGCTGCTGCAGGTGTTTTGCAAACAGCTACTCTGCCGGAGCCCTGAACTTTGTAGCTAGTGCATGATTGCCAAAAGACTACAGTTCCCATCATACTTCCACATACTGGCATTCCAATGACATCAGGCCACGGCTGAAGCTTGTAAAGGAAGAAAGCCAAAAATGTGACGGCCGTGTTCCTCTTGCTCTAGTAAGTCAGCCGTGGACTTTGGCATTCTGGAAACCTTGTGAGCGGAAAGGGTTACTGCTGCAAAGCCACTGAAACTGGAATCGTGTGTTTGGGGGACCGATTGTGTGGCTTTGAAGTGCAAGCAAGGTTTCCGTGGTTTCTGTGTGGGTTAGAGTCACAATAGTTCTCCGGGGAGATTGCATTAGCATTTGACGGTTTGTGTTTGGCGTTTGCCTTGGAGCAGGGATCCAGCCCTGCGTTCTCCTCACTTTGTTTATGTTATGCGCCCAGCGGGCGGAGGAGAGACGCTCGCCATAACCTGGCAACAGCACCCTGTATTGAGTTGCAGAAAGAGTTGTGCCATGTGTAACTGTCCTATGGCAGCAGGGTTGAGAGGTTGAGGAGCCGTTAGGACGGAGAGACGGGTGCGGCAGTTCCCTCACTGTGGCTTGTGTTCCTGACTGTGCTCCCATAGAAACCATGGGCACCGCTGCTGCGCAGGTTGGTTTTGAACTTTAAGGAAATGCGTGAAGTCAGGAATCTCTCCGAATCTGAGGAAGCAAGGCTGAAAATGTAAAGAACGGAGCTTGTCGAGTTCTGTTCCGTCTGGTGGGAACTCAGATAGATTTACAGCCGAGATCTGTAAACGGCTGGCTTGCATGATGCCGCTAATGTGAAAAAGACCAAGTAAGTAACAACCATGTGGAATCTGTCAGTGGAGTTGTCACACAAGAAGAAGGGGAGGAGGAGGAGATTGGATTTATACCCTGCCCTTCACTACCCGAAGGAGTCTCAGAGCGGCTCACCATCTCCTTTCTCTTCCCCTCCCCACAAGAGACACCCTGTGAGGTAGGTGGGGCTGAGAGAGCTCTCTGGAGGACTGCTCTTGAGAGAACAGCTCTGAGAGAACTGTGACTGACCCAAGGTCACACCAGCGGCTGCATGTGGAGGAGGAGATTATTATTATTATTATTATTATTATTATTATTATTATTATTATTATTATTATTATTATTATTATTGTCTTAAGACCAATGTACAGAGTAAGCATAATGGAAACTCAGATTTGTTTTTGTCTGGCTAGAAGGAAATGCTCCTAGTCCATTAGAGCGCCTCAGGCCAGGTGCACAGTACCTTTCTTCCATTGTGCAACTCGGGGCTGTTGTGTGCAGGCTTCCCAGAAAATCTGTGATCCAAGCAGTGAGTGCGCCCAGACCGACTTGGTTTCAGCAAGGTTGCTCTGTCATGTCCTCCCACGCTATCTTGGGGCCATGTTGAGGTCTTGTTTTTTACTGTTTTCAACACTTTTGGCTACTGAGTGCTCTTGTAGCTCAGCTGTGATCGCTGTGCCATTTTGTAAGATGCAGTTGGGAGCACTTGGCGGTGGAACTTGCTACAGCCGAGATCTGTAAACGGCTGGCTTGTGTGATACCGCTGATGTGGAAAAGACCAAGTAAGTAACAACCATGTGGAATCTGTCAGTGGAGTTGTCACACAAGAAGAAGGGGAGGAGGAGGAGATTGGATTTATACCCCACCCTTCGCTACCCGAAGGAGTCTCAGAGCGGCTCACAATCTCCTTTCCCTTCCCCTCCCCACAACAGACACCCTGTGAGGTAGGTGGGGCTGAGAGAGCTCTTTCAAGGACTGCTCCTGAGAGAACAGCTCTGAAAGAACCTGTGACTGATCCACGGTCACACCGTTAGCGGAATGTGAAGGAGTGGGGAAATCAAACCCGGTTCTCCCAGGTTAGAGTCCGCGCTCCTAACCACTACACCAAAATAACTCTCAATCTCTTACAATCTCCTTTCCCTTCCCCTCCCCACAACAGACACCCTGTGAGGTAGGTGGGGCTGAGAGAGCTCTCTGGAGGACTGCTCTTGAGAGAACAGCTCTGAGAGAACTGTGACTGATCCGAGGTCACACCAGTGGCTGCATGTGGAGGAGTGGGGGATCAAACCCGGTTCTCCCAGGTTAGAGTCCGCGCTCCTAACTAGAGATGTGAAGGCCCGGAAAAAAACCAGAAAAATTTGGAAAAAACCCAGTTTTTTCCCGTTTTTTTCCTGAAGCCTTTTTTGTTTTTTTCCGAAAAATTGGAAAAATTGAAAAAATAAAATACAATAAAATAAATTGACTATGGAACGTTTTATTTTAACATGATGAAAAAAATATTTTAAGACAAGGTGTTCAAATATTTTCCTAATCATTTCTAATATATATATATATATGACATATATATGACATCAGATTGATCTAATTTCTGTGCACTGAGGACAAGCAAGTCCTAGGTTACAAACAGAACTCTCCAATGCAAGAACAAGATGCATTTCTTTCTTTAGGAGGTGCGATTGTCAGAAGAAAATAAAAAGGTTTCAGATTTGTTTTTGCATGTGGGTGGGTATTCTGTTTGTAATAATTGTTTGGATACACTATATTTTTAATATGCTAGTTGTGATAATTTCATGCCAAGTAAAAATGTACATAGTCATATTTTATGTTCCTAAAGTAACAGAATGACTTTCAATCTAGAAAAGACAAAAAAATGCTAATGTAGCATTTTTTTCAATTTTTCCGAAAATTTCCGTTTCCCCCCGGAAAAAAAACGGAAAAAAAGGGGTTTTTTCCGAGCTTCAAAATTTCCGGAAATTTTACATCTCTACTCCTAACCACTACACCAAACTAACTCTCAATCTCTTACAATCTCCTTTCCCTTCCCCTCCCCACAACAGACACCCTGTGAACAGCTCTGGGAGAACTGTGACTGACCCGAGGTCACACCAGCGGCTGCATGTGGAGGAGTGGGGGATCAAACCCAGTTCTCCCAGATTAGAGTCTGCGCTCCTAGCCACTACACCAAACTTTATAGCTAAGAGGTACTATGAAGAAATGACGTATTTGAAGCCACCATCCCAACTGGAGCTTTCAAGAGTGTTCAGAGACCTAATGGGAGGGGCTCAGTGGCAGAGCATCTGTTTGGCACGCAGAGGGTGGCAGGTTCAATCCCTGGTATCTCCAGTTAAGGACCAGGCAATAGGTGAAGTAAAAGACCACCGGCTGGGACCCTGGAGAGCTACTGCCAGTCTGAATAGACAGTACTGACATGGATGGACCAAAGATTTAGGCAGGGAGCCGGGTTGGTCTGAAGCCGCAGAACAAAGTCTGAGCCTACGGCACGTTTAAGACCAACAAAGTTTTATTAACCCTTGAGGAGGTTTTATTCCATTTGCCTGAAGAAGTGTGCTTTGCACACGAAAGCCTACACTTTGAATAAAACTTTGTTGGCCTTAAATGTGCCGCTGGACTCAGACTTTGTATTGACGGACCAAGGGGCTGATTCAATAGAGAAGAAGAGATTGGATTTATAACCCTCCCTTCACTACCCAAAGGAATCTCAGAGTGGCTTACAAACTCCTTTCACTTCCTCTCCCCACAACAGACACCCTGTGAGGTAGGTGGGACTGAGAGAGCTCTGACAGAAACGGCTCTTTTTCAAGAACAGCTCTGTAATGATTTCTTGTTTTTGTGTGTGTGTGTCTCTTCAAACGTTTGTCTGCATGGCTGTGGTAGATAGACTAGAGTGGTTGAGAGAGGCAAGTGTGGTATGATTGGTGGTTGACAGAGAGGGGGCGGGGTTTTGGAAGTGAATCTGGTTGGATGAGTATGTGAGTCAGTCAGGAGTTACAGTTACAAGTCGACAGTTGATATATACAGGCAGTTCTGGGTTGAAGCAGTTAGAAGAGGACAGCTGTGGTTGTTCAGTGAGAAAGAGAGCCGAAAGCTGAGTGTATAGGAAAAAGTAAAGTTAAGTGAAGAAAAGTTAAAGGAAAGTCTGAGTGTCATAACAAACTGGAGTGAAACAGTGAACATATATGGCATTGAGATAAACAAGTGTTACAAAGTTACATGAAAAGATCCCTGTCAGTGAGGGAGAAGATTGTGTGTGATACCAAAGCAATCGTTCATCATTTACACATTACTAGTTACATTGTACCACTCTCTTATTTAGTAATTATTTCAATAAATCCTATTTTATTCAAGTTTATACCAGCTCTGAATGAAATACTTCCCAGGACCACATAGTTCCTCATAAGCCTTAAACTCGGTCTACCAAACTAGTAAGAGCAAAAGTAAAAGCATAAAGGTTTGGAAATCCTTAAAATTTCCTGGTAGCAGCAGATTATACCCAGTATGGGGAATCAAACCCGGTTCTCCCAGATTAGAGTCTGCGCACTTAACCACAACACCAAACTACTGGCAGGTAGGTGGGGCTGAGAGAGCTGTGAGAGAACTGTGACTGACCCAAGAAGAAGAAGAGATTGGATTTATACCTCACCCTTCACTACCCGAAGGGATTCTCAGAGCGGCTTACAAACTCCTTTCCCTTCCCCTCCCCACAACAGACACCCTGTGAGGTAGGTGGGGCTGAGAGAGCTCTGACAGAAACTGCTGGTTTTTTTCAAGAACAGCTCTGACAGAACTACGGCTTGCCCAAGGTCATCCAGCAGGTGCAAGTGGAGGAGGGGGGAATCAAACCTGGTTCTCCCAGATTAGAGCCCGTGCACTTAACCACTACACTAATGGCAGCTTCATCAGTTGTGTTTCTCTCTCCCACTCGGCTACACTTCAGGGTGCTCGGACCTCAGGTTGTTCAGTCATTCTTTGCCGGTGCCGCAGTTCATCCAGAGCTTCCAACAGACTGTTGAAACTGCTTGACGACTAGATTAAAAAACTCCCATGGGCAGAGCACGGACCCTTGGCCATGATTTGTACTTGCCTCGGTTCTGTGCTTTTTTACGTATGTGCCATTGCTGGCTGAAGCTTACGTATCTGGAGTGCAAATGAGAAAACTGTTTGGTTTGGGGCGGTTCCTGTGGAAGTATCATTTGAATCTGTCAATCTGCAGACGTTGGTGTGGTTTCTGAAACCAAAGCAGCATATTGAGCAAGAAGCATTTGCGTATGCCAAAGATTCATTCTCACTACGTTGGCCGTGGGCCCAGGGAAGCAGAATCAACATGAGTTATGGAACTGGTGTAAAGTGCTAGAGTTTAAACGTTGCTATTTAATTTTTGGTCTACTTCTGCAGCATTTCTTCCATAATATATATATATATATATTGGCCTGCCGGTCTCTTTAGTTAACTTTTAGTCATACAAAGCTCAGCCGAGCCTACCCTTACTAGCTTAGTTGTGAGGCTGAAACGGAGGGGAAAGATGGAGGCTGGTTTGGGTCGCCATTGGGGAGAAAGTTGGGGTTAAATTAAATCAAATACACAACTTGGTTGAATGGTTTTGCAAGCTGTTGACCAAGATGTCCAATTATTTTTAAACAGGTGAAACCTGCGGTTAAGAATTTGAATTTCTGCTTGTTTGGCAATGCAGCGCATGAAAACAGTGGCTGTGAGGACCTGGTTAAACAAAGCGAAGCATTCTATCATTACAAGCCCCAGGTGAGTGCATTGCGATGGTCGGGTTTCCTGAAGCTGGAGAATGTATGCCCTGACCCTCACTTTCTCCATCTCCCTACCCCATTTTGCAGGATTCTGTAAGCTTTTAGGGACCTGTTCCTTTTTACCCCTTGGGTGTACATATATGGCCGAATTAATCTGGGTGAACCGGGTTCGATTCCCCACTCCTCCACTTGCAGCTGCTGGAGGACCTTGGGCAAGCCGTAGTTCTGATAAGAGCTGTTCTTGAAAAAGAGCAGTTTCTGTCAGAGCTCTCTCAGCCCCACCTACCTCACAGGGCGTCTGTTGTGGGGCGGGGAAGGGGAAGGAGATTGTCAGCTGCTCTGAGACACCTTCGGGTAGTGAAGGGCGGGGTATAAATCCAATCAGTTTGGTGCAGTGGTTGAGTGCACGGACTCTAATCTGGGCGAACCGGGTTTGATTCCCGACTCCTCCACTTGCAGCTGGCTGGAGGACCTTGGGCAAGCCGTAGTTCTGATAAGAGCTGTTCTTGAAAAAGAGCAGTTTCTGTCAGAGCTCTCTCAGCCCCACCTACCTCACAGGGCGTCTGTTGTGGGGAGGGGAAAGGGAAGATTGTCAGCTGCTCTGAGACACCTTCGGATAGTGAAGGGCGGGGTATAAATCCAATCAGTTTGGTGCAGTGGTTAAGTGCCTGGACTCTAATTTGGGCGAACCGGGTTTGATTCCTGACTCCTCCACTTGCAGCTGCTGGATGACCTTGGGCAAGCCGTAGTTCTGATAAGAGCTGTTCTTGAAAAAGAGCAGTTTCTGTCAGAGCTCTCTCAGCCCCACCTACCTCACAGGGCGTCTGTTGTGGGGAGGGGAAAGAGAAGATTGTCAGCTGCTTGAGACACCTTCGGATAGTGAAAGGCGGGGTATAAATCCAATCAGTTTGGTGCAGTGGTTAAGTGCCTGGACTCTAATCTGGGCGAACCGGGTTTGATTCCTGACTCCTCCACTTGCAGCTGCTGGATGACCTTGGGCAAGCCATAGTTCTGATAAGAGCTGTTCTTGAAAAAGAGCCGTTTCTGTCAGAGCTCTCTCAGCCCCGCCTACCTCACAGGGTGTCTGTTGTGGGGAGGGGAAGGGAAAGGAGTTTTTGTAAGCCACTCTGAGACTCCGAGTGAAGGGCAAGGGGAATAAATCCAATCTCCTCCTCCTTCTTTCTCCTCCTCTTCTTCTTTCTCTTCCTCTTCTTCACCAATTTCGCCTTCTCTGTTTTTCCCCCCTGCGGAGTAGTAAACTTTCCAAAATGAAACGTTTTCCCAGCCCTTTATTTTTCCATGGAAAACATCCAGTTTCTGAAGATTTTTTACTTCGTAAAGATAATAATGAATGGATGCCCCTGGCAATACAGCATTTGGCAAACTTTGCAGACTTGTAGGTTTTTCAGGTGATTATTCCTAGGGATTATGTGAACAGGGATGTATGTCTTATTGACTTGGGAAGGGGAGAGGGTGGGATAAAACCCAGATACATACAATAATCCCAGCATCAAGTGATGGATTTACCTAATCGTCTGTGCAGGTCAAGTTAAAACCGGAGCTATGATTCTTATTTAGCTACCTCCCCTTGCATATTGTAATTACCAGTCTGATACAGTATTCATGCAAGAGATGCTGTTTCAAATTCTGAAAACCTTCCTAACCGCGGTCTGTGTGGCGACCAGTACTGGAGCCAATCCCCCCCCCCCTTCTTCTGGAGGAATTGTTCTTGCCTGTGTGCCTGCTCTCTGAATCTCCTGTTTTTAAACCCATTGCCTTTTAATTTGGCTTCAGGTGAACGGCACGAAGCCAGAAATGAGCGCACAGTTTTTCTCTCCATTGTTTGGAGGGATCACAAATACACCACCCAATGTGGAGTCTCCCCAGTTATACTGTAGCTGGTCAACATGTGCTGACGACACCAGTGCTGTTGCTCCGTTGCAAGATTGCACCAAAAAAAGGTATGGAGTGATTGGCATGTGTGTGTGTAGGGCATTTTCTAGACATCTTCCTGCGCCATCTTCCTGGGAGGGGCTGTATCTCCTTGGCATGCAGAAGGTCCCAGGTTCAATCCCCCGTACCTCCAGTTAAAAGGATCAGGCAGTAGGTGATGTGAAAGACATCTTATCTGAGACTGTGGAGCTGCTGCCCGTCTGAGGCCCCGGTCACACGGAAGATTTTGGCCCGGGAGAGGGACAGATTGGGGGCGCAGCAAATGGGCGCGATCTCACCGCAACATCTGGGAAGCGGCGCACACTCATCCCCGATCCATCCCTAAACCCGGAAAAGCCGCTGCAAAAAAGAACCTCCTACAGAGGAGGACTTACCTGAAGCATCGCAGCAAGCGTGGCTGTGGGATCGTCACCACGCCCGTCGTCCGGAGCAATCCAGGCTCCCGGCTGAACTGCGCATGCGCGCACATGCGCAGTTCGGCAGCCTCGCTCTCCCTTCAGTAGCTTCCCCCCCGGCATCTGATCGTGCCGGGGAGGAACTGCGCGGCGGCTCGAGATCTATGTGATCCTGCCGCCGCATGTTTCTTTTGGTGCGGCTTTAAAAAGCCGCACTTTGGCCGTACTCCCCCCCCCTCCCCGGTGTGGCAGGGGCCTGAGTAGACAGGACTGACTTTGATGGACCAAGGGTCTGATTCGTAAGAACATAAGAGAAGCCAATGTTGGATCAGGCCAGTGGCCCATCCAGTCCAACACTCTGTCACACAGTGGCCAAAAATACCAGGGGCCAGCACTGGGGCCAGGACATCCCTTGCCCCAGACCGAGAGTTCCCATCTATACCTTGTGGCTAATAGCCACTGATGGATCTCTGCTCCATATGCTTATCCAATTCCCTCTTGAAGCCGTCCATGCTTGTAGCCGCCGCCACCTCCAGTGGCAGTGAATCCCATGTGTTAATCACTCTTTGGGTGAAGAAGTCCTTCCTTTTATCCGTTCTAACCCAACCGCTCAGCAATTTCATGGAGTGCCCATGAGTTCTTGTATTGTGAGAAAGGGAGAAAAGTCCGTCTTTCTCGACCTGCTGTATCCCACACATAATCTTATAAACCTCGATCATGTCTCCCCTCAGCCGTCGTTTCTCCAAGCTAAAGAGCCCCAAGCGCCTTAACCTCTCTTCATAGGGAAAGTGTTCCAAGTGTGCCTTCAGTAGAAGGCAGCTTTGTGTGTTGATTTGGAAGCATGTCAGTCATTGGACCGGAGCTGCGGTGGCTCAAGTGGTTATGACGCTGAACTGCAGGCTGTGGAAGGTCAGTAGTTCAGCAGTTCGAGACCCGGGTGCCGCAAGACGGAGTGAGCTCCCGTCTCTAGTTCCAGCTCCTGCCAACCTAGCAGTTCGAAAGCAAGAAATTGCAAGTAGATAAATAGGTACCACTTCGGTGGGAAGGTAACAGTGTTCCGTGCGCCTCCGTGTTTAGTCGTGCCGGCCACATGACCACGGAAACGTCTTCGGACAGCGCTGGCTCTTTGGCTTTGAAACGGAGATGAGCACCGCAGCCCTAGAGTCAGACTCGACTGGCTTTCGAGCAAGGGAACCTTTACCTTTACAGTCATTGGAAACTTGTCATTTCCAAGAGGTTTTTGCATACCGGCAGATTGGTTCCTTAAAATGTTTGCCGTAAGTTCAGGTTAAGAATATTCCGATAATGGAACGGAATGAGTCATTTTTTTCTATTTGAAAGGCCAGTGTGTTGTACTCGATGACGCCAGTGCTTAATGAAGCAGTATCGCTCCAGGACTTAGCAACAGCTTAGCAGAGTCTATATTGTCCTTTCTCATTGTGGGTACCAGTTTCATTGTACTGAGACCTTTTTCATAAGCCACTGTGAAGTACTCTGACTGGATGGTCTCATCAGATCTCAGAAGCTGAGCAGGGTCTCCGAGGAAGTCCATGGTCACGATGCAAAGGCAGGCAACGGCGACCCACCCCTGTTTGTTTCTCTCGTCTTCAAAATCCTACGGGTTTGCTATAAGCCTCCCAGGAAAGGTGATGAGGGGTCTGGAGACCAAGTCCTATGAGGAACGGTTGAAAAGGCTGGGTCTGTTCAGCCTGGAGAGGAGACGACTGAGAGGGGATACGATCACCATCTTCAAGTACTTGAAGGGCTGTCCTCTAGAGGATGGTGCGGAGTCGTTTTCTGTTGTCCCAGAAGGTCGGACCAGAAGGAGATAGACAAGCTGGACTGTGTCCAGAGGAGGGCAACGAAGATGGGGAGGGGTCTGGAGACCAAGTCCGATGAGGAACGGTTGAAGGAGCCGGGTCTGTTCAGCCTGGAGAGGAGACAACTGAGAGGGGATACGAGAACCATCTTCAAGTACTTGAAGGGCTGTCCTCTAGAGGATGGTGCAGAGTTGTTTTCTGTCGCCCCATAAGGTCGGACCAGAACCGACGGGTTGAAATTAAATCAGAAGGGTTTTTGGCTAAACCTTAGGAAGAACTTCGTGACAGAGCGGGTCCTCAGTGGAACAGGCTTCCACTAGAGGTGGTGGGCTCTCCTCCTTGGGAGGTTTTCAAACAGAAGCTCGATGGCCATGCGCCAGCAATGCTGACTCTGTGAACTTAGGCAGATCTCGAGAGGGAGGGCAGGAAGGGTTTTGTCAGTGTGCTTAGTTCCTGTGGCCCCTACTTACACGCTCAGGGAAATGCTGATCGCCACTTTGGTGTCAGGAAGCAATTTTCTCCAGTTTGACTGGAGATCATGGAGGGTTTTTTTTTTGTCATCTTCTGGGCGTAGAACAGGGGTCCCTGGGGCTGTGAGGGGGGAGTTGTGAATTTCCAGCATTGTGCAGGGGGTTGGACTAGATGACCCTGGGGTGTCCCTCCCAACTCTATGATTCTGTGATTCTTGTGCCTGAGCAAAGTGCCTCCAATTCTTTCTACATGTGGTGTTCAAACGTCTCCTTTTCAGGGCACAGATCAATCTGTCATACTCCGGCAACGGGCCTGACATGTTTGGTTTAGTATCGAGCATCCTAGAGGAGCCGAACAAGCAAGAACCTGTAACAGACTGGTAAGCAGATGTTGGCTTTTTAATGTGAAAGTTATTTTAAAGTACTGGAACTGTCCTGCAGCCTGCTTCGAGGCAAGCTCACCCTGAAGTAAGCCGCACTGAGGTCAGCAGGGTTTACTTTCATGTAAGTTCGCACAGCCTGAGGGTAATCCAGTGTAGGGCCTGATAGGTTGCGTTGAACTTAAATTTAAATGGTTCCCTCGCCTGTTGTCGTAGAATAGCTGTAATTATTTTAAACAGGCCAGGAAAAAATGTATTATATTGCTAAGAGGGACAAAGGGAAAATATGCTTGCCGCAGGTGCATTTCTGAGTGAAGCGTCTTCGTCTTGACATTATTGCCCAGTCTGTCCAAATTCCTTCCTCGTGTAATCAAAATTGTCATTGGAGATATCACAAAGGATTTATCTGATTTTAATTTCCCACTCTTCCACATGCAGCTGCTGGAGTGACCTTCAGTCAGTCACAGTTCTCTCAGAGCTGCTCCCTCTAAGCTATGGAGTCTTGTGAGCAAAAATTCTACTTTAAGAACATAAGAACATAAGAGATGCCAATGCTGGATCAGGCCAAAGGCCCATCCAGTCCAGTGCCATCAGGAAGCCCTCCCACTGTTGCCCCCCCCCCCCAAGCACCAAGATGACAGAGCATCACTTGCCCCAGAGCCCCTATCTATACCTTGTGGCTAATAGCCACTGATAGACCTCTGCTCCATATGCTTATCTAATTCTCTTTTGAAGCCATCCATGCTTGTAGCCGCCACCACTTCCTGTGGCAGTGAATTCCAAGTGTTAATCACTCTTTGGGTGAAGAAGTCCTTCCTTTTATCCGTTCTAACCCGACCGCTCAGCAATTTCATGGAGTGCCCACGAGTTCTTGTATTGTGAGCTACTGGCATTAAAGTTGTGAGCGAGCGATTCGGCTACTGCATAAATTAGTTTGCTCTGGAACCATCCCTTCCTGAGCTAAGAGAAAAATCTGTGAGCCGGAGGCTAAAAAACTGTGAGCTAGCTCACACTAACTCAGCTTAGAGGGAACACTGCTCACAGGGTGCGTGTTGTGGGGAGGGGAAGGGAAAGGGATTGTAAGCCGCTCTGGGACTCCTTCAGGTTTGTAATTAAAACAGTAGTTGTGAGCAGTGTTCCCTCTAAGCTGAGTTAGTGTGAGCTAGCTCACAGTTTTTTAGCCTCCAGCTCAAACATTTTTGTCTTAGCTCAGGAAGGATGGCTCCAGAGCAAACTAATTTATGCGGTAGCCAAATCGCTCACAACTTTAATGCCAGGAGCTCACAAAGTAGACTTTTTGCTTACAAGACTCTACAGCTTAGAGGGAGCATTGGTTGTGAGCACTATAAAGAATTTTTCAAGTCTGACCATAGACAAGCTAGCTACAGACGTTGTGCTGATGGAACAAAATGTTTAAGCGTTAAAACATTTGTCTGTTACAGGAACGCTCTTTCAAGATTGTTCCCGCCCATGTGGTCGTCAGACTCAGAAAACAGTTTCTCAGGGCTTTTTCCTAAACATATTTTGGAACACAAAGATCACACTAACTTAGTTGGTACCCTGCAGCCTTATGAGGAAGACTTGAGAGAGTCGCCCTCTACAGAGTCATTAAAGAAAGGCCTTGACAGTTTCTACCTTACAGGAACTTGGCACGCGCTTTCCAATCCTTGCGCTCAGCCTCCGGAAAAGATGTTCAGGGACACTGCTCCCGCAAACAAGGTTTTCAAACGGCATGGAATCAGTCAACAAGACGGTCTGGAATATCGGAACATGCACAGTTATGAGAAGAAGCAATTACATACTGACGGCGGAAGGAGTCGTACAGATTTTACCACTTTCTCATCTCAAGCTCGAGTAAAAGGCGGCGCTGATAAAGAATATCCAAAAACAGATCAAGCAGGAGGAGTCCTTGGGGGAAACAATCCAGAGGGACCGTGTCAGTACTTTGGCCAACTGTCTAATAATGCTTCTGCTGAGGGCATCTGGGACCTGGTGACCCAAGAAAGCAACTTGTCCCCTGAAAGATACACAGATTTCACCGCCGCACCCGATTCACTGCAGTTTACCTTTCCATCCCTGTACGTTTGCAGTCCAACGTCTAATAAAGAAAACCGCTTTCCCGATGGAACGCATGCAAAACTGCAGGAGACCTACCCGCCGAACGCCCGTAATAGTATTAATACGGAAACAACCTTTAACGCTGAATGTAAAGTCCCCGTTTATCCTCCCAAAGTATCCTGTAATCCCTTGCCTCTAAAGCCAGCCACACAGAATACAAATTCATCTTACAATGGATACACGTGGTTGGATACTAAAATACTGAACACGGCGACTATGTCGTGTGCCGCTTACAGGAAGCCAGTGAGCTCTCACCTGTCTCCACCTCACTCGAGCGGGTCTTCCGATCAGTCTGCAGGCCAGCTTGTCTGTCCACAGAGGTCAGCCACGTCCCCTTTGAGAAACGGCGAGAAACTGCAAGTGTCCAGTAACGTTCAGAATAGCTCAGGGTTTTCCAGCTCCTCGGAAAAACAGAAGAAACCTAGCCCCATCGGCTGCTCCCAGAACCCTCCCTCTGTGACTCCAGAAGGACTCTATGGCAAGATACCGATCAGTGTCCCATCCAGCGGGCCGCCGCCGCAGTATCCCGCCAACGAGAATGCCAAATATCACAGATTTCATAATAAGCAAAGCCAATTTAATGCTCACGAATGGGCAGCGCATAACGAGAGAAGGGGTAAAAACAGTGGGATTCCGCACCCGGGCTACGCAGGCCCGAATCGAGCTCAGTTCGATGCTTTGAGAAGGAAGCAAGATCAGAACGGGGGCTGCCTGGCAGACTTCATCAACCCTTCGTTCCTTCCCCTTTTCCCGTTCGTGCCTGGCTATAAGCCCACGCCCAGTTTCCCCCCGTTTGGCCCGCACCCTTTCCCGTCGCCAGCAAACGTTGCCTTCTCGCCGCTGCCCTTTCCGCTGTCGGAACTGGTGGACCTTTTCCACTGCGAGGATTTTCACCACCTGAGCCCCTTCATCAACGATCTCTTCTGCGCAGAAGTGTCCGCGCCGTGTTTCGCCTTTCCCCCTCCTCTGAACACCTGCAGGCCTCCAAAGAACCGCAGCGGACCTGCAAATGAGCTCCATGTTCATCTGGAGGAATGTTACGATCAGTGGAGGGCGCTCGAGAGGGAACGGAAAAAGGTCAGTAGTGCGATCGGGGGTAAGTTTCAATCGAAGAGGTGTCCATGGTAGAATTGGTAGAGGAGTTAGCTTCGTACACAGTGGGTTAGATCTGGCAGATCTGTTCAGCTGAGCGCCAGTTTGGTGTAGTGTGCGGACTCTGATCTGGGAGAACCGAGTTTGATTCCCCCACTCCTCCACTCACAGTGGCTGGATGGCCTTGGGCAAGCCATAGTTCTGTCAGAGCTGTCCTCAAGGACAGTGCTTGAAAGAGCTCTCTCAGCCCCACCCACCTCACAGGGTGTCTGTTGTGGGGAGGGGAAGGGAAAGGAGTTTGTAGGCTGCTCTGAGACTCTGAGTGAAGGGCAGTGTATAAATCCAGTCTCCTCCTCTTCTTTTCTGTGCTGGAGCGTGCTTAAAGCTCTGAGCGTTTTATTTGCAGCCCGTTTTTGGCTGCAGAGTATAGCCACAAAAGGCGGACTGTGAATTTAGCCCTTAATTTAAAGAGCCACTTATCTCACAGTGAATATTATCAGTAAAAAGAATAACAAAAATAAGTGCAAAAAGTTTACAAAGTATCAGGTACAAGAAATTTACAAGATGTTAGAAGATTGCAAGTAGTTTGTTAGAAGATTGCAAGTAGTTAATGACAATGTCCTATGTTGCTTCGACATTCCTTCTTCTGAACAAGTTATGTATTACACATTGTCTCTGATTTCTGTTGTTTCTAAAGGAATAGTAATAAAGCCTGACGTTTATACACTTCCTGAAAAATCAATCCATGTTCGCAATTGCAAGTAGATACAGTTCTTTAAGGAGCTGCGGTGGCTCAAGACGCTGAACTGCAGGCTGTGGAAGGTCAGTAGTTCAGCAGTTCGAGACCCGAGTGTGCCGCATGACGGAGTGAGCTCCCGTCTCCAGTTCCAGCTCCTGCCAACCTAGCAGTTCGAAAGCAAGACATTGCAAGTAGATAAATAGGTACCACTTCGGTGGGAAGGTAACAGCGTTCCGTGCGCCTTGGTGTTTAGTCATGCCGGCCACATGACCACGGAAACGTCTTTGGACAGCACTGGCTCTTCGGCTTTGAAACGGAGATGAGCACCGCAACCCTAGAGTCGGATTCGACTGGCTTTCGAGCAAGGGAACCTTTACAGTTCTTTATGGGCAAAATGCAATTGCGAACATGGATTGATTTTTCAGGAAGAAGTGTATAAACATCAGTTAGCAACTTGCAATCTTCTAACGTTTTGTAAATTTCTTGTACTAATATTTTGTAAACGGCTTTCGAGCAAGGGAACCTTTACAGTTCTTTATGGGCAAAATGCAATTGCGAACATGGATTGATTTTTCAGGAAGAAGTGTATAAACATCAGTTAGCAACTTGCAATCTTCTAACGTTTTGTAAATTTCTTGTACTAATATTTTGTAAACTTTTGCACTTATTTTTGTTATTCTTTGTACCGATAATATTCACTGTGAGATAAGATTTAAATTGCTTTTTTTTTTTGATTATTGTAGTAGTGTCTCTTTAAATCTAGCACTAAATTCACAGTCTGCCTTTTGTGACTATACTCTGTTTTTGGCTGCAGGCACCTAAGTGATAATACTCGGCAGCTTGGAAGGATTAGCAGTTAATCAAACAATAGGGCACGTCTCAAAATTCTAGCCGGGGGAAGGGGGCGGGGAAAGAGGAAAGAGCTGTCAAGCTGGGCACGGTTTGGGACGTGAACGTGTTCTCTTTTCTCTCCAGGCTGAGGCAGACCTAGCCAGAAACTTCCCAGGGAAGCGAGTATCCAGTTCGAACAACACTCCGTTCTCCAGGCTTCCCGCTAAACCTTCCCGGGTGGATCGCTTGATTGTGGATCAGTGGGGTGAGGGGGGGGGGGGGGGGGGGGAGCGCTGTGTGGGTTGTCTTGTGGGTGCAAAAAACAGCAACCGCTCAGCTGTTAAAAGACGTGTAGCTCGGCTGTAGCTCAGTGGGAGGAGGGAACAAAACTGAAAGCAGAGTGAGATCAGTGAGCCAGTTTGGTGAAGTGGTTAACTGTGTGGACTGTAATCTAGGAGAACCGGGTTTGATTCCCCCACTCCTCCACTTGCACCTGCTGGATGACCTTGGGCAAGCCATAGTTCTGGCACAGCTGTTCTTGAAAAAGAGCAGTTTCTGTCAGAGCTCTCTCAGTCCCGCCTACCTCACAGGGTGTCTGTTGTGGGGAGGGGAAGGGAAAGGAGTTTGTAAGCTGCTCTGAGACTCCTTTGGGGAGTGAAGGGCAGGGTGTAAATCCAATCTTCTTCTCTCTTCAGTCCCGATACATTCTGCCCCCTTTGCTGCCTTTAGTGGTCACCACACCTCAAAACGGACGTTATAGCGTTGGAAAAAGTACAGAAAAGGGCAACTAGAAAGACAAAAGGGTTGGAACACTTTCCCTATGAAGAAAGGTTAAAGCTCTTTAGCTTGGAGAAACGACAGCTGAGGGGTGACATGATCAAGGTTTACAAGATTATGCAAGGGATAGAGCAGGTAGAGAAGGAAAGACTTTTCTCCTTTTCTCACAATACAAGAACTCTTGGGCACTCAAATGAAATTGCTGAGCAGTTGGGTTAGAACGGATAAACGGAAGTCCTTCTTCATCCAAAGAGTGATTCACACATGGGATTCACTGCCACAGGAGGTGGCGGCAGCTACAAGCATGGACGGCTTCAAAAGGGAATTAGATAAGCATATGGAGCAGAGGTCCATCAGTGGCTCTAAGCCACAAGGTATAGATAGGAACTCTTGATCTGAGGCAAGGAATGCTCTGTATTCGTGATGCTTGGGGGAGGGGGGCAAGAGTGGGAGGGCTTCTAGTGTCCTGGCCCCACTGCTGGACCTCCTGATGGCACCTGGTATTTTTGGCCACTGTGTGACACAGTGTTGGACTGGATGGGCCTTTGGCCTGATCCAACATTGGCTTCTCTTGTGTTCTTATGGATAAACATATGGAGCAGAGGTCCATCAGTGGCTCTTAGCCACAAGGTATAGATAGGAACTCTCGGTCTGGGGCAAGTGATGCTCTGTATTCTTTGTGGTGGTGGGGGAGCAGCAGTGGGAGGGCTTCTAGTGTCCTGGCCCCACTGCTGGACCTCCTGATGGCCCCTGGTATTTTTGGCCAGTGTGTGACAGAGTGTTGGACTAGATGGGTCATCGGCCTGATCCAACTATGGCTTCTCTTACATTATGGAGTAGAGGTCCATTGGTGGCTATTAGCCACAAGGTATAGATAGGAACTCTCGGTCTGGAGAAAGGGATGCACTGTATTCTTGGTTCGGGGGGGGGGACAACACAGTGGGAGGGCTCCTAGTGTCCTGGCCCCACTGCTGGACCTCCTGAGGGCCCCTGGTATTTTTGGCCACTGTGTGACAGAGTGTTGGACTGGATGGGCCACTGGCCTGCTCCAACAGGACCATAAGAGCATTCAAATGTGTGTATACAAAATTAAATCTTGCCTTTTTTTTTTTAAGGTGCACACCTTAATAGGGAAAATGGGAAGGCTTTGTGGCGTTCCTGTCCATACGAACATAGCTGTCACTCTGGCACATCACTCGGAAGCCATCCGTGCGACCCAAGCACGACGCAAGGATGAGATAGTTAATGCAATCAATCCTCAGAGGCAGGGAGCGTCCCGCTACAACAGTGAAAAGGGTAACTACTTTCTGATCATTGTGCTTGTGGGCTTGCTCTCTCTCTCTCTCTCTCTCTCTCTGGATTGAGTACATTTGTAGCCGAGCAAAGCTTTGTGAAGGAACGACGCAATAGCCGCACATCATGTGGTAGGTGCCATCTTGGAAGAGGTGTTCCCTTGTCTCTCGCTCAGGCAAAAAAAATAAAATAAAAAATATTTTTATTTCTTAACCGCCCTTCCCCGCTTACGCCGGGGCTCAGGGCGGTTTACAAGAACATACCTTCAGTACAGTTTTAAAACCAATTAAAACTACAAAAATTCAATCTTAAAACATTCAGCATAAATAGTGGGGGGCTGTGTGGGTGCACGCCGGGCAGACCCCCGTTGCCCTGGAGCCTTTGATGTAATTAGCTGGTGGGCCTCCCCAAGGCCCCCTCCCCAAAAGATCCCTAGCTCTGGGGCTGTGGCAGCGGCTCACCAGGGTCTCAGGCAGAGGCCTTTCACATCGCCTCCTGCCAGATCCTTTCCACTGGAGATGGCCAGGGATTGAATTTGGGACATTCTGGGTGCGTTCAGACGGGGCATTTACAACGGTATAGGTGCTGGTTGGAATCAGTGTACTTACCGGCGTTCACATGGCGAACATCTGCCTTCCGTCCCTAACCGTTGCAAAGAGCTTTAAACCGTTGTATTCTGCCAATAGGTCCCCAAGTGGTGGTATCCTGAGTGCACCGGTTGTAACCGCTTTATCCCCCCGTCTGATCGCTCTCCACCGTTGTAGAGCCACTTCCGTTTGGAAGCCTGAGGCTTCCGCTTTTTGCTCGCCATTTTTTTTGTTAGGTTGGTGATAAGCGCTTGGGCGAAGCTTCGCCCCGGCGTTTGTTTTAAAAAAAGGTTTTAGAGGAGTCCGGGACCTCAGGGAGGCCAGTTTGCTCTTTAAACTTTAAAGGTACGTCCTCTGTTCAGGGCATACTTTTCTGAACGGGGTGTTTTGCACATGCACGAAGATCGCCATTCTGTGGATGGCTGCCTATGCACATGCGCAAACTGAGTTAAAAAAACCCAAACAAACCGCCGATGCCCGCTGTGTGTGAACGGGCATACTGTGATGGGCTCTCCAGACAGGAGGTAAGTGTGATTGCGTTTCAGCCGGCATAAACTGCACCGGTTGGAACCGGTGCAGTTTATGCCGGCTGAAACACCCTGTCTGAACGCACCCTCTGCATGCCAAGCAGATCCTCTGCCACTGAGCCACAGCCCCCTCCCGTCAGAAGAAGAGGGATCAGGTGAACGAGCCGGCAAGAAAGCACACGGCCATTGAGTTCCCGAGGTCAAAATGGTACACAACCTTCTCCCCTCTCAAGCTCCCAGCTGTAGAGTGCTTTGTCCCCCAGTTTGCGGGGTGGGTGAGCGGAGCAAGCAGGCTGGCCAGCCCATGGTAAAAAAACCCAAGTCGATCGTACCAGTGTTCAATTCGTTAGGCTACAGAGGCACTACAAGGAGCTCAGGGCCCTGTGAATGCAGCTTGAGTGCCCTGTGTTTTCTGTACGCAGCCTCGGTGTACAATATCTTCCTAGTAGAAGTTCATGACAAACAATTATGGAGACAGCGGTTTCGTGACCTAACACAGTCCCATATAAGTTGCATATAAATATTGCTCAGGTTGGGCTGCACCTGTGGAGATGTGCTTTCGGAAAGCTTTGAAATCCCAATACACTCAGCCCTTGTGCATATAACAACACCGTCGAAAGCCGTAGCACTTTACCCAAAAATAATTGACACTTGATTCAGAACATTCTTATATTAACAGTGTAGTACTCTAAATAACCATTCAGACCCATTCCAAAGACACCAATGTAAACAGTCCAAAGCAGTTCAACCAATTCCTAACAGTTGATAAAATGTCCACAAAACTAAGAGGAGTAACAGTCGATAGATGTCCACAAAACCCAGTTGCGACAGACCGCCCAGGTTCCCATCCGTTTCCTTTCAGGACTTCGTCAGACAACCTCCAGGGATGGAGCACCAGGCTCTACCTATTTCTCTTGACCGTATACAGCAGTCTATATCTATTCCGACTGGCTTGAATAATGGACATCTATGAACTGCTGCAAACTTCAGAGGACGGCGGAAGACAGGAAGGCCTGGCGGGATCTGGTCCATGGGGTCGCAAAGAGTCGGACTCGACTGCGACTGAACAACAACAAATGAACTGCTGCCCTTCTTAGTTTTGTGCATGTTAATGAACTGTTAGGAATTTGTTGAACGGTATTGGACTGCTTACATTGGTGTTTTTGGAATGGGTCTGAATGGTTATTTAGAGTACCTCACTGTTAATATAAGAATGTTTTGAACCAAGCGTCAAGCAATGCTCCCTCTAACCTCTGTCAGCCGCCTTGAGCCAGTCTGCACCGGTGGGATACCAAATTGAAAATAATAAATAAATAAATAAATAAGCGGTGGAGTCTTGTGAGCAAAAAGTCTACCTTGCGAGCCACTGGCATTAAAATTGTCAGCGAGCGATTTGGCCGCTGCACAAGTTGGTTTGCTCTGGAGCCAGGGCCGGCCCGAGGAGTTTCTGCGCTCTAGGCGAGGCTAGCTTGTGGCGCCCGCGCCCCTCCCAGGTGAGGCTACCTTGTGGTGCCCCCCCCCAGCGCGGATGAGCGGCTCTGATCTCTTAGCCGCGCGGGGACCCTTGTAGAGCTTCCAAGGCGCCGGGTCTCCCAGCAGGGAGCTCGGCATGGGTGGCTGAGGGTCTCAGAGAGGTCTCTGTGTGCGATCCCATCGGGCTTCAGGGTACTACAACGCCTGGGAGGCAGCGCTCGTTCTCCTGCCGCACTGCCTGAGCGACGGGCAAACTCTTCCCTTCCCGCCTCTCTCGCTAGCCAGTGGTAGTTCGTGCAGGGCGGGGGAGCTGCCTGAGAGGCAGTGCGGAAATGGAGCCAGAGGCCGCAGGAGCTCGAGTTGGGCCAGGCGGCGGCAGCAACAGCTGAGAAGGAAGTGGCAGGAAGGCGCCAAAAGCATATTGGGGCTGTGCCTCCCGCCGCTGGCCTCCTAAGGGGCGCCTCTTCCTCCTCCTCATGCTGCGCTGGCGGCGATGCTGCAGGAGGCCAGTGATGCACGAGGTGGATGCGCCGGCACCAGTTTGCTGAGCAACTCCGGCCTGGGGAGAAGAGGCTTCGCTGTGTGCCTGGCTTCCCCAGCCCAGCGCCCCCATGATGGCCCTGCGCTCAAGGCGAAAGTCTAGTTCGCCTAGTGAGCGAGCCGGCCCTGTCTGGAGCCCTCCTTCCTGAGCGAAGACAAAAATGTGTGAGCCGGAGGCTAAAAAAACCTGAGCCGGCTCACACTAACTCAGCTTAGAGGGAACACTGGTGTCAAGTATTCTTGGGTGCAGTGTTTACAATTTTTGACTGTGTCGTTATATACGCAGCCCTCTTTGCTGCACTTCCATTTATTTATTCTAACACTCAGCCCTTGGCGTGATGAAAAATGCACGCTCTGTCTGTTGACTCTGTTCCTTGGGATACTGTAAATTCCCCAACGTGGTGCCCGGGGGGGGGGGGGGCACTATGGCGCCCGCCAACACCTTTCCCAGCATTTGCCAAGTGTTTTTAGAGGGTGGCTGAGGCCAGGTGGCATCCTACCCAGAAGCGCTTCTGATTGCCCACTGGAGATCTGCTTGGCTGCGGAGATTAAAACACTATTCAGGAACAGCTGCCACTGCCGTGTTGTTCTTTCTTCTCCCTGACTCCTCTTTCCCAGCGTATTTTTTAAAAATTATTCTTCTTATGCTCTGCACTTTGGCTTCCTCTGTTTGCACGTGTGTGGTTGGTTTCAGTGCCCCCTCTAAGCTGTGGAGTCTTGTGAGCAAAAATTCTACTCGGTGAGCGACTGGCGTTAAAGTCGTGAGCGAGCGATGTGGCTGCTGCACAAATTAGTCTGCTCTGGAGCCACATCCTTCCTGAGCGAAGGCAAAAATGCGTGAGCCGGAGGCTAAAAAACTGTGAGCTGGCTCACACTAACTCAGCTTAGAGGGAACACTGCTTGTGAGCAAGAATTCTACTTTGTGAGCTCCTGGCATTAAAGTTGTGAGCGAGCGATGTGGCTGCTGCACAAATTAGTTTGTTCTGGAGCCCCTCCTTCCTGAGCGAAGGCAAAAATGTGTGAGCCGGAGGCTAAAAAACCTGTGAGCTGGCTCACACTAACTCAGCTTAGAGGGAACACTGCTTGTGAGCAAAAAATTTACTTTGTTAGCTCCTGGCATTAAAGTTGTGAGCGAGCGATGTGGCTGCTGCACAAATTAGTTTGTTCTGGAGCCCCTCCTTCCTGAGCGAAGGCAAAAATGTGTGAGCCGGAGGCTAAAAAACTGTGAGCTAGCTCACACTAACTCAGCTTAGAGGGAACACTGGTTGATTCCTCCTCCCACGTGGCCATTTTGCGGTCGTACCCATCCCCATGGGTCAGAATTCAAAAGTTGCCCGCCAGTTCCAAAAGGTTGGAGACCCCCGGTCTAAATTCTGTGAAATCCTCCCTTGCATTACTGCAGAAAACAAAAGCATTCCCTGTCGAGATTGTCGGTGACAACACGCAGCTTGTCTTGCAGATGTCCTCGCTCTGGCGGCCGCCATCAAAGACTTGGCCTTCTCCACCCGGAAGACACGCACGGCTTTATGGTGCGCCCTTCAGATGACTCTCCCGAAAACTTCAGCGAAGGAGGCAGAAGTAGAACGGGTCCTGCGGGAGCTCTGTCCGGCCGTCGGCCCCTCGCAAGGCAAGACCCGCGCGGAGCACGAAGACAAGGAAAACAAGCGGGAGAACCACGCCGAACCCCAGCAAGTCCTCAGATGAATGGGTCAAGGAGAGACAAAAACTCGTCGTCACGTGGAAAGTGCGCCAGGCGGTCCGCGCGGCTCGCTGACGCGTGGTGTGTTTCCACTGTCGTGGCCCAAGTCTAGATATATGCATCTGTGTTAATAAGTGTTGCAGCATTTTTAACGTTGGTGGTGTCGTGTTGTCTGCTGTGCAAAATAGAAGGGGGTTGACTGATAAGGAGAGACAAAGCAATAGTCGATCATCTTCCCGACCACCAGTCCAAAGCTGGGACTCGTGCCGTTGACTGGGAAACCAGCGGGCAGCAAAGCTAATTCGGGTATTTTACAACCCGAACACGTCTTTGCCGTCTTGGTTCATTCATGCTTGGGTTTATCACTTCACCTATTTTGGAGTGCCAAAGGGATTGCTCAATATACCGGTTTGAGTGTCTTGTGAATCGGCAATGGATAATGCCCGTTTCTGTTGTAATATCCTCAGGAGCTGAACTTCTTGACGATCAAGCAATCAGAAGTAAACATTGTTTGTGTTGCATATGTGACGCTGCGTTGCCAGCCTCTACTTTAAGCAGGGCCAGTTCAAAATTCAGTTTCCCACAACGGTCGGGTTCCAGTAGTCGGGTGAGAAAAGCTTAAATACGTTGCAGTAAATATTGCATTATGGCAAGCATTAGCCTGAGAGAACCACTCGTCCCTTAAGATTAGTAACGACGCCGTAGTGGCTTAAAACTAACTTTGGTGTGCACTTAACGGAAAACTGTTTATTAATCGTTGAAGTATTTATTTTAATGGCTAATATATTTTAAGTTAATTTCTAATGTACACTTTGATCACTTGCCAGACCTAATGTTCACTCAGGAAGTCTGTGTGTGTGTGTGTGTAATCTTTAAATATACGCATAATAGTTAATTATGTTTATCGAACAGTTACATAAGACTAACTCTTTACTAAGTTACCAAAGCGGGCTAAATTATTTTGTGTGTGTGTGTGTACGGAAGTTCTGTGTGTTTTATCGCTGTTAAGCTTCATGCTGTTTGTGTCAGACAATCAGATACGTTACACGTCATTGTGATTGTACAAAATGAGAAGCGGAAGGCGTCCCCTGTCCGGAGTTTCGCAGGCCTTCTTTGATTTTGCTCACTATACATGTTCCCTCATTTCACAACAAAGTGAGGGGAAGCTCAAGCAAAGATGTGCCCATGTGCACAGATAGCTGCTCTCATGACAAAGGAGCAGGGTGCGCGTGTTGGAACTCCTGAACATGCGAGGAATCTCTGGATCAGGGGCTTTAACGTTTGGTTTTTTTAATCACTTAATGAGTATTAATATAAGTCTTACAAAACTAGAGGTTACCTCTGCAATAACCAAGTAATCTGTTTGTGTATTAATGAAGAACCTCTGGTGAGACGTTCTTAGCAACCATGTGGGAAAATGAGGGATGCTGAGGAGAGAAACGAAAAAGGCCTGGAAGAGGCTTTACCTTGGTGTTAAATTGGATATTATTATTCAGGAAACGTAATGAATCGGTTCTCTGAACTGATTCCCCACAGTATTTCGCTTTGAGCCGGTATAAAAATGGTTTAGACTACAGTTAGCATGGAGAGGACATGAAATTTGACACGTATAGCAGGAAGTACAAATACCTCGCCTTCTCCCTCCTTAGTTTGACGAAAATCTTTGAAAGGCACAATTTCCCAAAGGGTGCCCTATTCTTACCGGAAAATATAGATTATTTGCAGCCTGAGATTTAATTCAGATATAAAATGCTGAGGAAATTATGCTCCGTATGTTCATTTTGCACTTAACGTCATTGTGGTCAAATGTGCTTTTTGTGACTTAAAATCAGTTTACGATGTGAGGAGCCGATTGAATTTAACTTTTGTGACTTTGCTATGTTAGAAACTGTAATTTTACTGTCTCCTTTCCTGTTTACAAAACTATTGTACTTTTCCAGAACGGTGTGGTAGTAGCAAATGCTTTAGGCACCCAGAGTTCTTACTTAATGAGGAAATTGTTAAAAATCGTGGTGATAAATTGGTTGGTCTAGGTAACGTGCCTTTAAGAGTCTTAAAAGGTAAATATATCTGTGTGCTCACTTTATTTTGGTGTAACCGAGCAATATATTTAAAGGGATAATAAACTGCATTTGATAGTTAACTGTTTATGATAATGAATGTTTCATAACCAATTTGTAGCACGGGTTTTCCTAGCTTTAGAATCCATGGGATTGTATCGGTAATGTTTTCTTTCGATTGCCTGCAAAAGCATCAGTTCTCAATCAACTATACTCTTGCTGCACCCTCTAAGCTGTCTTTCTGAAAAGGGCATTGACTGGTGCCCACCAAAGGGTGAGAATTTTACGCATGCTTCATGAAAGTTAATTCTCAGCGTTTGGGTTTAGAAAAACCCACCTGCTTTCTACTAGTGTGCTTGTGTGCACGGGGATATTATTTTACCTGCCTGCGATTTTGACTGTGGCCTTTCGGCTGACGGTAACACGGCATTCCCGGCTGTTAAGATTTGGCCGAGATGTAATGCGCCTGGCCTTCTCCTAGACCTGGTCCGATTCCTTGGATGCTGGACAGGGATAGTGACCCATTGGTTAGAATATTGTCTGTCTGAAACTGTATGGTATTCGCTCCCCAAGTTTGGGGGCGGGGTTGAACAGTCTGAAACAGAGGCCGATGGAGTTACATGTTCTCGAAAAGCTCTGAAGGTATTTCCCCCTTCGTTTTGATCCAAGGCATCAGCCTTCCGCTTGCATTCTGCGTTAGCCTTGTCATTACTTAAGGGAGGGGTTTAATGACCTTTGAACGAGACCAACATGAATACTGCAAGCGGAAGGTCTCCGGGGTCCAAACCAATGATCAGTCCTTCCCCTTTGGTCACACCGTTAAAGAATGTATGTCTCACGCTGTAATGTGGCAGCCGATGAGTGGATCTCGTGGTACTTGGAACGTGGCTTGTGTGCACTTGGATGCCAGATGTGTTAAATTACACAGAGTAGCTATGTATAGTTAGCTTTTAAAATCATACCTGCTTTTACCAGATTGGTGATATTCTGCGTGTGTATTACTAAATTTGCAAAAGCTCGTTCTGTAGTTCTCCCGCCACCGTGACCAAGTGGAGTACAGCAGCGGAGATGGAAGGTGGTTCCATCCCGCTTCGATTCCCAAAGGTTTTGTTTACGCAGGAATTGTTCAGCTTGTAGACGACCGTGCGAGATTTGTGCCGATGGCCATATAGGTTAGCCTTTGTTGGAGTTCTGTGCGATATTTCTACATGTGGCGGACAGTGCGTTCCAATTCTCTGAAAGCAGTGGCCTGCTGATTTATAGTGCTAGAGTTCATTGTGCATGGACCAGAATTAAATGGTAGGCGGGTACACGTGCATAAGGACTTGTCTGTGTTGAGCATGATTGGGGGGGGGGTCCGTTTCGCTGCCGTTTCGGTGAAAGCAGGATAGAGCCCCACTAGAATAATGGCATGCTGCGGACTCCGCAAATATTTCCTGTAGTACGAACAGCTGTGGGCAAAGCTGGTGTCTCGATTAGAAAGCCCAACTTGGTTTTCGAATTACTTTATTGACCTTAAATTTTCATTAGCCATAGGTGTGTTTGGTTCTAAACCGTTTCTTCTTGAATGTCTAGTACCAAGAATGGAGAGAAACTTGCCTTGCAGGGAGTAAGACGACAGAATGCCTTTACTTGCAGCTGAGTAAAGTACGATGGGCCCTCAGACAACAAGCTTACAAGTTTTGGGGAGTTCAGTATTTGGGGTTTTGTTCGTTTTTAACCTTTCCTCAGCTCGACGGCAGCTCAGCCCTTTAAACTCTTCCTCGCGTGGTTTACGGGCTTTACTTACCAGCACGATCAAAAAAAATTTTGGGTGAACCTTTCTATCAGATTAGGGAAGCGGATAATTGTGTTTCGCGATTGCTTTTGCAAGAGACTTGTATAGCATCTTGCCGCTTGGTTTTTAAAGGCTGTGACTCTTTCTAATATTTTTTAAAAGAAATAACGTGTGTATGCGTGTTGGTTAAATATTAGCAATACAGTTTTGTGATGCAAGGAGACGTGCTAAGCTTACTTTTCCAGCTTGCGGACGGGCGAAGAGTTCCCGGGGAACTTTGGCCAAGCAAATGACTGCTTCGCCCAGTAAGCTTTAATAATGATTGTCCTCGATGGCAAAATACGCGAGGCTGACAAGAAAGAGAATGGATCTAGGTGGCCGATGGATTGGAAGAAGTTGCTGTGTCGGAAACGTAGAAATGGAGCTTTCCTGCAGTTTCCAGTGCATGGGCGGCGAAGACACGCTTGCTTTCTTATTTTTATTACAGACAAAGGGAAGATAAACCACGGTCTATTTTAATATACCTTTGTAGTACAACGTCTCGTGCATCATTAGCCAGTTTTGTTGAACCGTAAACTTTTACAGTGCTACGGGCGCAATGGAAAGAGCCCCTTCCAATTCTATTCCATTTTGTATCTTGAGCAGAAATGTGTCTCGAGACTTGATCATTGGTCAATTAGGTGCTGATTCCTTGTATCTGGAAACAACTGTGGCTCTGAAAGCTGCAAAAATCTCACTTCTACCTCTCCTGTCACTGTCTAGGTGATGATCAAGTTCATTCGGCGGTGGCCACCCAAGGCCTCCTTTGGTATTCTGTAAAGCTGGGGTTCAGCGGTCCGTCTGCGACTGCGAAGAGTATTGAGTGAAACGCAATGCCTTGTAGAGCCAAGGTAGACGTTTGTTGGTGTGAAATCATCCGACATACAGTGTCCACACTTGCAGATTACGTTAAGGGAACAATTCACCAGTAGACAGGTGCAAAATGTTTGTGAATCCTATAAAAATCATGGTCAGTAAAACGTTCTAGCGTTTGTATACGGATTTCTTTTCTTACCTAAATCGATAATGTGCCTGATTGTTACCACTAGTATTCAGTTGTTACTAATTTTCAGCTGTTTCCCATGGTAATTCCCCCCCCCCTTCTGTAATTGTCACTGAGAATACCTGTTACATGTGCTGGCAAAACAATAAAAGGTATTTAATATTTAAACTACTGTGAACAACACTTTTCTTCATGAAGTTGGTGAGAAGAACAAGAATAGTTGGTTTTTATACCCCGCTTTTCTCTACTTTAAGGAGTCTCAAAGCGGCTTACAATCACCTTCCCTCCCTCTCCCCACAACAGGCACCCTGTGAGGTAGGTGGGGCTGAGAAAGTCCTGAGAGAGAAACTGGGACTGTCCCAGGGACACCCAGCAGGCCTCATGTGTCTCAAAGGGTGATTTCCCACAAGCGCTGCTCTACGCTCACTCTTCTCTTTG